GCAATAAAATGGTTAAAAAAAAAAAAAACCCACAGCAACATCCAATAATCCAAACCTCAAAGACACAGAAGAAAAAGATAAGAAACATAAGAGCAAATACAATTAAAAAAAGTCAGTGCACACCTAAAGAAATCAAAGTGTATGAAGTTTGGGATTTAAGGTTTTATTTATGGATATTTGAATGTTTTTATTGATGGTTACCATTTGTAATTTGAAAAAGATTATGATACAACTGAAAAATTAAGAATGCTTCAAATATGCTTTTTCATTTTTTTCTTTGATATACCTCTATGGAGGAGTACATCTCATATATCACAGAACCAGGCCATGAGGTGCAGTAGAAAGTGTGCAGGCCCTGACTTCAGAAGACCTGGGTTCAAATCTTAGCTTTTCTACTTATTTCCTGTGGAACTCTTGGACAGTTGCTTATAGCTTTTCGGGGTCTCAAGAGCTTTAGCTATAAAATGAAGGGGCTGGATTAGATGACTCCTAAGGCCCTTCCAGTTCTAAATCTGAGTCGTCCTATGAAACTCTATTAAACTTAGACCTATGAATTTTCTCTGTTTCATCAGAGAACGTCGCTTAGACAAAACAAGCTTGAACTACTGGCTTTTACTCCCATTCCATAATTGCCTTTCATGATGGTGAGAGGACCAGAAGAACATCATAAAAGAAAAGATTCTGACTCCTATCTATTGCCAAAAGTGACTAATAGAGCCTGGGGCATTGTCTGGATTTGGTCTGTCTCTCTTTCAGGGAGGGTGGCTGTGGCTGACTTTGAGGAAAACTTGTGTACTCTAGGTTAAGTAGAATGAATTTAACCTTAGACTTCTCTATTTGGAGACATCTTCCCATCAATGGATGGTTCTAAAATCAAACTAGGTATCTCTGTGATGTATGGCCAGAGAACTTCAATACTCTGAGAAAGATGCTGTGTGTGTGTGTGTGTGTGTATACGCGTGCGCAAACACGTATGTTGGAGGGGGGGCAGAAAGCTAAACAGACATTTTTAGCAGGCAGCAACAATAAAAGAGAAAAATTATGACCACAGGTATTTGCAACACCTTTCATTAGGATGTACATCCAGGAAATTTGTTGTTGCTGTTGTTGTTTTAAGGCAAATATTTATTGAATACTCAATCATAAAGGATATTTTAGTTCAAACAATTTTGTTATTGTTGTTCAGTTGTTTTTCAGTTGGGCCCGACTCTTTGTGACACCATTTGGGGTTTTCTTGGCAAAGATACTGAAGTGGTTTGCCATTTTCTTGTCCAGCTCATTTTATAGATGAGTAAACTGAGGCAAAACCTAATAATTAATTTTAAAACTTAAGCATATTTTCAAAAAATAACTAAACTTTAACTCAAAAATACATACTTAAAAATGAGACAAAATACCAATTTTTGTGAGACATGAGAATATGCCTGGGCACATCTGGCATACCCTGAATATGCATCTGTGTTGATGATGTGAGAGGAGCCTCTCAAATATCTCTATGGTTTATTCTAAAAATGCATTTCTTTAGTCTGGGCATTCCTAGCCCTGAACTTCTTTTTTTTCCTGAACTTTTTTTTTTTTTGATGAGGCAATGGGGTTCAGTGACTTGCCCAAGGTCACACAGTAAGTGTTACCTGTCTGAAGCTGGATTTGAACTCAGGTCCTCCTGACTCCAAGGCTGGAGCTCTATCCACTGCGCCACCTAGCTGCCCCCTCCTGAACTTTTTAAAAACATATTTTGATAACTATATTTCAATGAATTGATTTCCTTTGTAATCTTCTGTATTTTATTTTATGCATTTAAAGACACTTATTCTGAGAAGGGGTCCATTGGCCTTACCAGACTGCCAAAGGAGTCCATTATATAAAAAGTGGTTAAGAACTCCTATTAGTCTAAAAAAAAAATTAATAAAGTTAAAAAAAGTTCAGAGATTACACCGAGCAAATCCATTGCTATGAATTTTCATTTTATAAAATATTTGCTGAAAAACCAAAATTTCTCTTTATATCTCCAGAGAGAACACTTGGCAAGCCAACAGGTAGAGAGCTCTTTGTGATACTGCCCAAGCAAAGAGAAAATAGAAGACATTTCTCAGGGTGCCAAGCTCTCCCTTCCAACTTTGATCAGGAGAAGTGAGCTAACAGCCTCCACTCCCTTTCTCACTCCCCTCCCAGCAAGACCAGACCCTGCCAGGAGGGCTGGCCTCATCCCTAATAGCATAGGTAGCCACACTCCTGAGCCAATGGGGCCCATCAGCAGGAGTGGCGATAGAGCCCAGAAGGGGGTTGTGGGGGCAAGGAGGGAAGGATGTGGAGATGCCTATTATAAAGTTTAATGATCTAGTCCTGCCTTCTACAAGCCACAGGAAAGCTGGAGCTCTGAATGGCACTGTGAAGGCGTCTCTGCTGGATGCACATCAGTAAAAGTAAACACACAGAACTCATGCCATGAGGCCATGATTTATTGACCACACACACTTTCCAAGGTGGCCCACGTTGGGGCCTGGGAAGGTAGATATCTGCGGTTTAGGATGGAGCAAATAGTCAAACTATACCCGTTCACCAAAAAGCCTGCGCCATGCCAATAAGCAACGATGAGTACGGGATGGATGACCTCCTCCCGAGATTTTATGGGTTCAGAAGAAAAGAGACGCTAGTAAAATGTCACTGATTTTGACTGGTTGAGAGGAATTCCAACTCAAGTCTGGAAAATCTGAATTATAACCTGTTTTAAAAACCTCAAATTGGGAGAAACATTGGAACAAAAGCTGTTTGAGGAACTATTTTAATGAACAGCTAAGGATTTGTAAGCACTCAATTAGCGGCTTGTAAATAAATGATTGTTTCTTAAATCCTGACACTTGAAATTTAGTAGTAATTTATGTTTGTAAAAACAACAACAACAACAACAACAACAGAAGAGAGCAGAAGGAAGTTCAGAGGACGCACAGAGCAACAGGACAGTTTTGTTATTGTGTACCTTTTCAAATTTATTATTCAAAATTATTATACTTAAAAAACTTTAAAAATTATTAAGAGTTTCAGTTTCACACAATTCCTCCCCCCCAGTTTCTATCTGTCTAGTGTTTTGTAGCTTATAAAGGAATTTCATTTATATGTATACATATATATTTACACAATGTGTGTATATATGCATGTGTGCATATACACACATATTTACATATAATTTCATTTGATCTCCATAATAACCCAGTGAGGTTGGCAAAGGGGGAAATAGGCTCAGAGATGTTAGTGACTTGTCTGTGTTCACGCAGCAAGTGTCAGAGGCAGAATTTGAACCCAGGTTGACTCTTTTTAAAAAAAATGAATAGTATTGTTGCAACAGATGTCTCTCCTAAATAGATTTAGAAAGCCTAAATAGTTTGTTAAATAGACTAAGGAATACCCCTGTAATCTCATTCACACTATTCATTTATTTATCTTCTTTGCTACCTTATTCTTGAGTAGAACAAAGGTACCAAGAATGTTAAATTAGCAGAGTGTGAATTAAAAGGGTTTGAAAAAAATAGAGTCCCATTACTTCTATGACAATGTCATGATTCGAAGACCTTTCGTAGCACCCTAACTTTGGAAAGAAGCCACCTGATGCTGTGGTGTGAAGGGTTCAGTTGCTGGACTTAGCATCAAGAAGAGCTGGGTTCAAATGTTTGACTACTGGAAAGTCATTTAACCTCTCTGAAACTCAGTTTCCTCATTGATAAAATGGGTATAACATCACAATTTTAGAGTTAGGAAGAGATCTAAGAGGCCAATCATCCAACTGACCTCTACTTGAAGACCTACAAAAAGCAGGGAACCTGCCTCCCGATCTGAGAATAACTCTGATTGTTAGGAAGCTTTTCCTGACGTCAAATCAAATTTGGCCTCTTACACTTCCCACTGTTCCTGGTTTTGCTATGCAGCCCAATAGAACCGAGAAAAACCACTCTTCTGTATGACATCTCTTCAAATACTTGATAATGGCTGTGTAGGGTGTGTTTCCCTGAGTCTTCTTTTCTCCAGGCTAATTATGCCCTGCTCCTTAACTGATTGTTCTTCATTCGACATTGCCTGAAAGTCCAACGGTCCTCCCTTGGACACTCTGCTGCTTATCCATGTCCTTCTTAAACTGTGGGTCTCAGAACTGAACACAGCACTTCTTCAGAAGTGGTCTGACTTGGGCAGAGCATTGAAGTATGATCACCTCCTGATTCCTGGGAGCCATGCTTCTCTCAAGGAAGCCCCAAAACACAGGAGACTTTTTTTGTGGCTAACACATCACACTGCTGCCTCATACTGAGCTTGTGGTCTGCTAAAACCCCAATTTTTTTTTCAAATTGCTGCCTCCCCATCCCTCCCTCATTTTCCCCTAATGAAACTTGTAGTGCTTGCCGCACAGAGTTGTTGTGAGGCTTAAACTGTACATAAAGTGCTCTGCAAACTCTAAAGAACTCTATAAATGTCAGCAGTTATTGCTGTTTTTCAGATAAAAAGAAGTACTGTCCCCATGAGGTGACAGCAATGGCAGATTTCATAATTAAGAGCTTATGAATAATCAATGATAAATGTTCACATTTATTTAGAGAAGCATTTTAAGGTCCACAAAGTGCTTTACATATATTATTTCAGTTGACCCTCATAACAACTCTGGAAGGTAGGTGCTATTATTATCCCCATTTTATAGATGAGGAAACTGAGATTGAGAGGTTAAGTGACTGACCACTTAACTAGTAAGTGTCTGAGGCAGAATTTGAATTTAAGTGTTTCTGACTGTGGATCCAGTGCTCTATTCACTGAGCCATCCAGCTGCCTGTCTTGTCCCTCTTAACGAGAAGTCAGTCGAGGATGTCATCAGAGCTCTATGTTTCATTGACATAATCCTTGTATTAGGGCCACTTATGAATGGGTGCAATTTTCACCAAATGCTTTCAGTCCCACTGTAGGTCACTGTCCCACTCTTCCTGGCACCATACCCATAATCTAAAGAAAACAAGAAGACTTACCCATCTTCTTTGGGGTGAGAGACACACAGAATTGAAGATCTAGCTGTTTGCCATTCATTGGGCTGCAGTTGGAAATGTTGACCCAGAAGTTGTGATGTAAATCTCTAGGCTTGGGTAGTGGTTCATCATCTCGGCTGACAATTTCTTCTGCCTTTGCCTTTTGCTCCTGGATGATCATGAAGGCCCTGCCTGTTTCACAGGACACGCCCATTCTCTCCTTGGAGAATGTCAGGTGGGCCACCTGATTGTTGGGGACTGAGATGTTCCAGGATACTGAGGTTAAAGGGGGCAGGCCTCGATCCCAGTTAGGGCTCCGCAGGTAAACTTTGGCTTTGGAGTCTGGTGTCACAGTGAAAACACCTTCATCTGCAGGAAAGAAAGGAGATCTAGTTAGGTAGTTTACTTTTTTCCTTTAAGCATACAGTGGTGACAAGCAGTGCTGAAGGTATGGAAAAAACGAAGTGGAGCCTGGGTCCAAAATTACTCTTGGGTTTTTTGAAAGGACAGTTCAGTTTGTGGGGCCTAGAACCAACCTAACTTTGCAGGCTCACTAGACATTACTTTCCTTTGCATGTTCTTTGATCCAGTCAAACTGACCTCTTTACTTCTCATAGACAACACCCCATCTCCATACCATTATGCTTGGAATGTACCCCTCTTTGCTACTCCCTCATAGAGTCCCTCTTTTCGCACAAGCACCATCTTCTCGTGAAGCCTTTCCCAATCCCACCAATTGGTAGTGCCCTCCCTAACTATATTGTGCATGCGTTTGTCTCTATTCACTGTGTTTATGCTATATATACTTACATTTGAATTTGCCATCTCCGCCATTAGAATGTTATAGGGATTGTTTCAGTTTTTGTACTTGTATCCCTAGTGTCTAACATGGTGCCTGGCACACAGCAGATGCATAATGAATGTTTGTTGATTGATACTTCTCCTAAGCACAAAGCCCTTCACTGCTTTATTGACAGACCACTCATTCATGATCATCATAGCCTTCTTCAGAAATAAAGATTTTCTTTGATTTGTGTATGTGTGTTTGTAGTAACTGTGATTTCATTGTACCTTGATGACGAAACTCCCTCTACCAATACAGGTCGGTACCCTCTCTGCAACTTATAGCCTTGGTCACCTGGGGCACAGAGAGAAAGCAGCTGACCCATGGTCACACAGCCTTCAGGTGTTCGAGGTTGTACTTGAACCCAGGGCTTCCTGACTCCACAGCCAGATCTTGATCACTACAACATGGCCATCTCTCAAATTTTAATCAGGAAGATAACTTACTTATCTTACTCATCAGGAAAATGCCAGGTGCTGAAAGAATTCAGCAGTCAGAGGGTGAGAAGAGACCTCGAGCAAGATTAACACGGAAGGATTTTCCATAGTTGTCTTGGGTGAGCCCTTCTAACAACGACAACGGACCCTCACTGTTAGGAAGTCCTTCCTTCTGTCTTAAGGTCTAGAGTTTTCCATGAGAAGTCAATGATGAAGCCTGGATGTGAAGCCACTATGTCTCAAGTTTTAGCCTAGCTCACTGAACCATCACATCTCCCCATTTTGATCATCAACATAACTATTTTTCTTAAGGAAGCAGTAAGTGGCTGGTGTGTCTCAGGGGAGCCCAGAAAAGCATCTCACCTTTGAGAGAGTGTATAAATGTCACCGTCATCCCCTGTCTGAAAGCTTCTCTAGAGAACCCTGGTAAGAATGTTTTGAGGACCACGGAGATGTTCGTTTTCACCTGAATTTTCTCAATTGACCCCCCGGGACAAAAGGAGCCAAAATAGAGGTTCTGGCCTGGAACAGCACTGGCCAGTAAATAACTGAACGTGGTTTCACAGTTCTTCTCGTGAGTGTGCTGCTGAAGCTTCTGGGCAGGCGTCAACTGGAGGCTGAATTTGTCCTTTGGAACTAGCAGCTTCCACGTATAGTCACGTAGCTGAACAGGCAGCTGGATGATGTCACTGGCAACAAGAAGTTGGTAGCTCTTCCTGCTACAGTATCCACTGTCTGCGCAACCTGCACAAATAAGGGGAAAAGACCAATCAATCAGACAAGCGTGAATTAGGTAGCCACTATGTACCAGGCACTGTGCGTACAGATTTTTAAAAAAGGAGTAATCTCTTCTCTCATGGAACTTATATTAAATGTTAATATGTTAATATATTAAATATTAAATAGACTAAATTTATTCAAAGACATTTTAGGGGGTGGTTCCCTCTCTTATGGTGTTAAAATCCTAGGATAGGGGAAAAAAAATTCACCAAGTAATTAAATACCAGGACTCAGTACAGTAAAATCTTGTGTTTTTTTCAGTCTTCGTGAGAAATTTGGATTTAAGGAATGGCTCAGTCATTTACTAGCTGAGTGTGATCTTGGACAAATAAGTTAACTTCTGTGGGTTCCAGTTTCCCCATCTTTATTTTTGTTTTGTTTTGTTTTTTTGTTTTTTGCTAGGCAATGGGGTTAAGTGACTTGCCCAGGGTCACACAGCTAGTGAGTGTTATGTGTCTGAGGCTGGATTTGAGCTCAGGTCATCCTGACTCTGGGGCTGGTGCTCTATCCACTGTGCCACCTGCCTGCCCCTCCCCATCTTTATATGAGGGATATAGGCTATGGTTCTGTCCAATTCGAGTAAATGGTTTGACACATTTATTAATTACTTACTATATGCAAGGGAGAGAAAAATAAAAAATGACAGCTGCTTTAATCAAGATAACTTACAATCTAAATGTGACAAGCCCAGAAATAAATGTGATGTCTGGAAGAATGTGATTAGTACATAGGGAAGCCCACACCTCAATAAGAATCCTCTGTGTAGGGGCAGGTAGATGGCACAGTAGATAAAGCTCTGGCCTTGGAGTTAGAAGGACCTGAGTTCAAATTCGGCTTCAGACATTTGACACTTACTAGCTGTGTGACCCTGGGCAAGTCACTTAACCCCGATTGCCTCACCAAAAAACAAACAAAAAAACAAAACAAAACAAAAAGGACATAGGAAAGATCTCAACAAAATACAGTAAGAAATGTGCCCCCCTGCATCCTGGGCCATCTCCAGTTGTCCTGATCTATATCGGGCCACTGGACCCAGATGGCTTCAAAGGACAAAGTGAGGCTGGTGACTTTGCACAGTCCTCCTTCACTTAAATCCAATTCACTTGCTTCTCATGGCATCACCTTCCTGATGTCATGATCCTCTTTGAGAATGAAGGACAAATAACAAGAAGAAGAAATGTGAAGAGGGAGAGATCGCTTTCATCTAGGGGTAGGAGGTGAGGTAAGGTGTAGATCAGGGGAGGTAGTGTCTGATCTCTCCTTTAAGATTCAATAGATAGTGATATAGAAGGTGTGGCCTACAAGCATGGGGTTCAACCTGTGTGAAAGTGCAAAGGTCGAAGGGTACAAGAAGAATAGTATGGCGTGGAAGGCTTTGAATATCAAACTCAAGTTCTGAAGCAGAGGAATGGCATGGTTAAACCCATCCTTTAGGAAGATCATGATGGCAGTGGAATGAAGAGAATAGAGAGGGAATAGAACAGAGAGAGACAGAGAGTCCAGGCAAGAGGTAAAGACATTTTCATCTAAGAGCAGGGGCCATGTGAGTGGAAGTGAAGGGCCAGATGGGTGAGACCCACGGCCTAGGGAGACTCAACCAGCAACAGGACTTGGCAATTGGTTGAATAGAGAGGTAGAGGCATCGTCCAAGATGACATATGGGAAGCCGTTAATAAATGCCAGTTGACTGATTAACAAGTTATAACAAAGTCTGAGTGATTGAAAGGGATGGTAGCCCCTGCATCAGAAACAGGAAAGCTGGATGGAGGTGCAGGTTTTAAGGGAAGAGGATGAGTTCAGTTTGGGACGTGCTGACTTTGAGTGGGACACCCAAGAGGAGCTAAGAGGCAATAGGAAATGGTGGGAGATTCTCTCTCTAAAATTCTGACTCATTTTCTAAAAACTGTTTTTGGAAATTCATCAATTTCATTTCTCTAAGGCAAAGGTTCTTAACTTTTTTTTTATATTATGGGATCCCTCTGGCAGGGATGAAGGCAGGTGAAGCCTATGGACCCCTTTTCAGAATACTGTTTTTAAGTAATTGAAGGGAATAATTAAATTTCAGTTAGATGTTGGTGAAAATAAAGATACCATTTTTTTTCCCATCTAAGTTTATGGGCCTCTAGAAATCTATCAGCCTAGTTCTAAGGTGTCTTAAGCTCAAGGCCTATGATGATTAGGGTCTGTGGCTTGGGGTCATTCCATTACTACGAGGGCCATCTAAAGCATGAGGTGATGGCTACACCATCTCATTCACTGCATATGACCTGGGCAAGAAGATGGGTATGAGAGTGATCCCTCTAATATTAGAGATCACCCATCCCAACAGCCCTTCCCTCACTCCATAGACGAGGCACCTGACCCCTCGAGAGGTTGAAGCGCCTCACACAGCTAGCTACACAGGCACAGAGCCTGAACAGGAATGCAGGTCACCTGATAGGTGACTACTTTTTGAAAACCATCATGTTGGAGAAATTGTCAAAGCAGTTGACCTCCCCCCAGAGCTGCACAACAGGACCATATCTGACCCACCAACTAGTGCTAAAGAACATTAGTTTCTGACAGTGCCATTCCCATTTATGGCAAATGTAATAGCTCCCTTCTCTTAAAGATGAAAACCCATACATCCCACAAGGGCAAATGGCCATAACTCAGGTCCTGATGACAAATGCTGGTTAAGCAAGCAATGGGTGAAGATTACAGCACATCGTCTGAGTTGGCCATTACTAAGCCATAGCACTACTGCACGCAGCTAAATGCAAGTTGCTGCATGTATCATTTGGGATTACACAGGGTGCCAATCTCCAGAAATAGGGCAATCACTTGAAGTGATGACTGGATAATAATACAAGGGAACTTGACTAGAATTTCCAAGCCAACCTTAAGACACTCCAGGCAAGAATTGTAACCCTTTTCCTTTGTCCAGTCTTTTCTCTTGTCATTCTTCCTTTTGCCAACTTTTTAGTGCCTGCTTCATCTCTTCTTAACCTCCTCTCCAAAGTTGTCACCAGTATAGGAAGAATGGGATCTTATCTGTGTGTGTGTGTGTGTGTGTGTCTGTAGAAGGATGGGGTAATTTTCTTTCCCAGGGACCACAATAATAATTACCAAAACTTTTACAGTGCTTTAAGGTTTGTAAATCATTTTGTGTACCTGCCTCAATTGATCCTCATAACAGCTCTGTGCAGTAGGTACTATTATTACCATATTTTACAGATGAGGAAACTGAGGCTGATAATGGGTAAGTGACTTGCCCAGGATCACACAATTAGGAAGTTTCTGAGGCAGGATTTGAACTCAGGTTTTCCTGAACTGAGGTCCAGTACTCTAACAACTACCTCATCTAGCTATGTACAACTCCTCCCCAGGTACCTTAAATTTCTCTAGGGGGTGGGTTGCTCATGGTGGAACTGCCCTCTAACTCCCTTAGTGCCAGTGCTCCCCTCCCCCCACCCCCAATCCAAACCCTTACTGGATCTGGCTCAGGAATAGTTCCAAGTGGTTATGGCTGTGCTTTTATCCATAACATTTCATCTTTTTCACAAACCTCAATAAAGAAGGGTTAAAGTTCTCTGGTGGTTAGTAAATGCCTGTTGATTTGTTGCCATCTGTAGTGTGGTGCCACAGAAAGCTCAATGGATGTGGACTAAGAGGCCCTGGGTCCAAATTCCAGCTTTGCTATTTACTATCTGTGTGACCTCTGGGGCTTCACTTTCCTCATCAGTAAAATGGTCACTCGAGGTAAAGTGGACGAGAGAAGCTCTGCTCTTCCTTCCAGTTCTATATGCGATGATCCTAGCTATGCATTTTGCCTTTCTTTGTGTGCCCGGTGCTTTGCTTAGTGCCTGGCACATAGAAAACACTTAATAAATACCCGGTGTCATCCTTGCCTGGAATACTCTTCCTCTGCATTGCCTGCTCCCTTGAAGACTTAGCTCAGTGTCCATGGCTAACAAGAGGTTGCTCCTTATTCCCCTAGTTTTAGTACCCACACATTACTTGGTATTTTTTTGATGTGTATTTGAATTGATTTGCTTGTGCACATGCTGTTTCCCCAATAGAAAGGACAGTCAAACAGAAGCTCCTTGAGGAAAGGGACTATTTGATATCCAGCTTTGTTAGCCTAATGCCTGGTGCTTAATAAATGACTTTCAAGTCATTCTTTGTATCTGAGTCCCTAGTACTGTGCCTGATACATGGTAGGTGGGTGCTTAGTGAGTGTGCTTACTGAATTAAATAATTACATTTAGAGCATGTTGTGTCATAATTTTTGGAGAGATACTCCCCTTTCCTTCTTCCCCCCCTTTCCAGAAAACAAAAAGGGGGGCAGGTAGAGTAGGAAAAAAAATTTAGAGAAACAAAACAGAAGAGATGTAGTGTCTACAGGGGTAAAGAGAAGGCCAGAGCATGCCAAGGACCAGAAAACAAGTCTTACTGATTGTCTTTTCCGCATGGACCCATAGGCGGGTCATATCATCACAAAGGAAAGAAATCTCATATTTGTTGCCAGATGTCAGGGTCAAGTTGGGGCTGCATGTTGTGGGCCCCTCACAGATTAAGCAGGCAGGAACAAAGTGCCGGTTTGTCCTGAGTGGTTTTGGCTCGATGGTCAGTGACATGGATTTTTCACTTCTCAAGTCAATGGTGTAGACCTTATCTGAAAAAAAAACAAAGATGGGGAAAAAACCATCAGTAGCAACCAAAGGAAATGATAAGGCCAACTGCATGGAACAGTGAAGAATGTGCTGGATTTGAAGGTGGGGAGACCTGGCCTTGAATTCTGCTGTGGTGGCCCTGGACAAGTTACTTCATTTCTCTGAGACTTACTTTCCATACCTATAAAATGGGAAGAATAACAGCTCCTACTCTCAGGGTTATTGTGAAAATCAAATGATCCTTTGTACAATGCAGGCCTAGAAATGACATGCTACAGTGGACTTAGAGTTAGGAAGACTTGAATTCAAATCCTACCTCAGACACATGCTATCTGTGCTACCCTGGACAACACACTCCATGTCTTTGGGCCCAGATTTGCTCTTCTGTAAAATTAGATTGTAGATTTAATTGTAAGATCCATTAGATTGTAAGTTTCTTGAAAGCAGAGACTGTCTTGTACTTCTTTTGTAGTTTTAGTGCTTAGCACAGTGCCTAGCACATAGTAGGTGCTTAATAAATGTCTAGGGAATTAAAAATTAAAATTTGATTAAAATGAGGGGACTGAGCCAGATCGCCTCTAAGGTCCCTTCGGGTTCTAGATCTATGATCTTTTAAGTGGCAGGGCTGGAATTTAGACCCAGTCTTACTGACTCTAGGCCCAGAACTTAATGCCTCATTGCAGAGGGATAAAAGAATTCAAAAAAATGTTTAAAATTTCATTTTTAATTTATGGAATAAAACAAACATGCCCATAATAGTACAATAAAAAAGATGATTGTACATGAAACCATAAATCTACTATGTATAACTTGCTGTTCCTTTCAAATATACAACAAAATTATCATGTAAATTTTTTTTCTCCCCCCGCATCCTCGCCCTAGAAATGACTATCATTAGATACAAATAGAGGGGTGTGTGTACATGTGTATGTGTATACACACATATATGTATGTATACATGTGCATATACGTGTGTATGTATATATACACATAATTATTCTATATATACTTTTATTTATCAGTTCTTTTCCTAGATGCAGATAGCATCTTTCTTCATATGTACTTTATAGTTAATTTGGATATTTATAATAGATAAAATAATTTATTTACTTGAAGTCATTCTTAAAACAATATTGCTATTACTGTATACAATGTTCTCTTGGTTCTGCTCATTTCACTCTTCATTACTTTGTGCAAGTCTTTCCATGTTTTTCTAAAATCATTGAGATCATCATTTCTTATAGCACGGTAGTATTCCGTCACAATCATATACCACAACATGTTCAGCCATTCCCCAATTGATGGGCATCCCTGCAATTTCCAGTCTTTTGCCCCCACAGAAAGAGCTGCTGTAAATATTTTAGAAATTATAGGTTCTTTTCAAAATTTAGGGCTGCCTATATGAACTTGGAGTTAAGTGACCTGGGTTTTGAAATCTTACTTTGCTACTATCTGTGTGTGACCTTGGGCACATCACTTGAATTCTCTGGGGCTCAGTTTCCCCATCTGTAAAAAAGGAGGGGAAAATGGCCCTCTTCACCTTTAAATTTTATATTTCTATTGACCTCCAACATATTTAAGAAAGTCAGAGACATTAAGGATTGGGGGCAATTGACTCTAAATAATTTTCCCTTTGCATAGATTTCTATTATTCTTAGAGAAAGTTTAATTCTTTGTGATTTACTTAAACACATCCAGAAAACTTTCAAAACTCAGCATTATTAAAAGAAAAACTACGGAAAAGTAATATTAGGTTGCCATCCATTAGATTGTAAGCTCCATAAGCGCAGGAACTGTCTTTTGTCTCTTCTTTTATCCCCAGTGCTTAGCACAGTGCCTGGCACATAGTAGGCCCCTAATAAATGTTTATTGAATTGAATTAATATAAAAATGTGCTTTGGCCGTTTGCAGTAGGAAAGAAAGTTTTGGGGAAAAGAAGTAAAAAGACTACCCCCCCCCCAAAAGTCACCCTCCCATAATCCATCCCATAACTATTCTGTACAAGATTAGCCTGAAAACGCTCAACCAGTGACTGGGGTAGGGAGAGTGCTAGGAGGAAAATGGCCAAAAGTAGGGCTGCAGATTGAAGGTGATACAGGGTTCTCCCAGAGATGCTGAAATACAATCTATCTGTTTGGTTACTTACTTACACTATCATTCCAAAAGGGATTAATCAGGGGGAAATGTCTTCTGATCTTTATCTCCAGCAAGCCATTAGCTGAGCAAAAAATATTCCTTTTGAAATATCAGGTTATATCATCAGCATTTTTCCAATTACACCAAGATCCAAGAGATGGAGATCTGGCAGTAGCTATCTAGCTGGGCAACCAGACTGGGACTGAAATCCAGTGATGGGGAGCATTCCTCCCTCAGCTCACTCAGCTTTCTCACAGCATTGCCTGTGTGCTTTTGCAGACTCTAGGACTTCTCAACAATTGAAAAACTTACTGGTCACCATTTTGTTTCAAGATGGCGCACAAAGACAGATCAAATTTAAAGCATATTGTGATATGCTTTATCACAACAGCAGGAAACCAAAATGTGGTCAAAATTAATCAGGTCCTTTCAGAGTCATTCTTTGTGTTCATATCAAGAGGTTGAGGTGTAACAGAAATCTCACTTTGTTGCACCAACCAATATGGACAGTGGAATCATTCTAATTCTTTAGACACTGGGGAATGCCCAGCGGATTTCAGCTCTTTCAGTTAATGAATGAGCATTTCTTTTTTTTTTTTTGCTTTTTTTTGATGAGGTAATCAGGATTATGTGACTTGCCCAGGGTCACACAGCTAGTGTTAAGTGTCTGAGGCTGGATTTGAACTCAGGTCCTCCTGACTCCAAGGCCAGAGCTCAATTCACTGCGCCACCTAGCTGCCCTATGAATAAGCATTTCTTAAGTAATTATTATGTGCCTGGCACTTTGCTAAGTGCAGCGTAGTTCATGGAAAAAGTGTAGGATTTGGAGTTGGAGGACCCAAGTAAAATTGTGACTCTTTCATTTATTCTCTGTGTGACCTTGGGCAGTTAACTTCTTGGGCCTCAGTTTTCTCAACTATAAAATGAGGAAGCTGGATTAGATGACCTTGAAGGGCTCTTGCATCTCCAAATCTATGGTCCTACAACTTTCTACCCAGCAACAGGATTTGATGAATGGATAGTAGTTTTCTGGATTATGCCATTTTATACTTGTCTTAATTAAACACATCAAGCCCACGATACCATATATGAGATAGGTTTATTTCTATATCATAGACTCCTCTGGTAGTCTGGTGAAGCCTATGGATCCTTTCTCAGAATAATGTTTTAAAATATACAAAATAAAATGCACAGGGTTAAAAAGGAAAAAAGTTGTGTTAAAATAATTATCAAAATAAAAAAAAACTAAGTTCATGGACTCCAAGATCCCTGGATTTAATCTTAGGTTGACTTTAAAAATTAATAATAATAATATACTCTATTCAGATAGTATGTTATTATTATTAATTTTTGGATAGATTATCATATTGGGAATATCTGAAAGTTCTATACTTTGTAAATAAAGATAAAACATTAGTTAAGTGTCAGGAACTCTGCTAAATTAAATAAAACACTTGTGAAATCCCCTAAATTTTTTTAAGAGTCTTGGCAATATGAAAATTCCCTCCTAGAAGGTGATGGTACTTTCTTCTATTTTTTTTTAATCACATAAATGGCCTTTACGGTTTCATAAGAGTCACACAGAACACACTCATTGCTACTAGCTACTCTAAAGCAAGTTTGTTGGGGCTGACAGAGTTCCAGGTACACAATGTAGAGATTGTCTAAACACTCCCAAGCAAGATGAATCCTTTTAAGTGTGTGACATAGGAGGACAAGAAAGAATGCCATTCTCTGTCTGACCCACAGCGGCCCTGGTTTGTTTGGGTAACAACGTTGCCATAGCTTAAAATTTCTTCTCTTACTATGTAAGAAAACTGACTCTACTGTGGCCGGCCTATGCTGGACGCTCCCTGCTGGCTACTGTATTTTGTACATGATGGTGCCCATTACCCACCCATGAGTCTATTCTCTTAGCTTTCTTTTCCTCTGTAAATCTTTATGGGATGATCTATCGACCTATTGAGGATATCCTTACTGAAAATAATCAGAAAGAGGTGGGCTTTTCACACATGGTTTACCACCACAGATCGCATCTTTGTAGTCACATGATTGGCAGAGACCCAGAGAATACAAAGTTTTCCTATGTTTATTGTTCAGGTATTAGAGAACTGGCATGACTCCATTTCCTTATTTTTAAAATGAAAGGGTTGGACTAGATGACCTTTGAAGACCCTCCCAGATACATAGTCCTGTGCCTGGGTAGAGCAAAGTACAGACTTAGGTGGCACAGTGCATAGAGTGCTAGGCTTGGTGTCAGCTAGTCCTGAGTGCAAAACTAGCCTCAGACACTTAGTAGTTGTGTGACCCTGGGCAAGTCACTTCACTTCACTTTCATTTGCTGCAGTTTCTTTGTCTGTAAAAGGGGGATGATGATAATAGTACCTACCTCTCAGGGTTGTTGTGAGAGTTATATGAGACAATAAAGTATTATGATGAATAATAATTAATATAATACACTTAATGAAGGTGTTTTTTATTATAAATTATGGAACAATAATAAAATATAATTAAATATAAGGTAGTGATGCAACCCCCCTGCCCCTCCCCCCCAAAAGCATAGAATGAGGGCTGAAGGCATCATAGAAACCATCTAATCCAACCCCCTCATTTTACAGAGGAAACTATCACCAAGACACATAGGTGGTATTTGTCTGAGACAGGATTAGAGCCCAGGTCTTCCTGACTTCAAGCCCAGCGTGCTGACCACTACAACATGCTGTTTCTACTATGTGTCTCATGCAGTTATTAAGATCGTAGGAGATCTTGATAAATTTGACCATAGAGATGATTGTTCCATAGCCTTCTGATTGTTAATGTCAAGCAAGGCATGAAAGAGAAAGATGAATGATCACTGAAGGTTTCT